ATAAGTGAAATATTTGAGGTTAGTTTTGATTTACCATTATGTTAACCGTTCAATAAGCACTTAATTTAGTTTGTTCCAGTTAGTTTTGTACAAAAGATTCAATTACCTAACAAAGCGCCTACGTTTTTGATGGTTTAGTGGCAGAAACGAGACCACAATTAATTCCAATCACGTTTTATTAATTTGTTTATGCCACAATATTTTTAAAAATTTTGATAAATTTATTTGTTTATTTTCTATTACTTTACTTTTGTGCCTTTTTCCTCATTAGGAAGAGTAAACATAACCAAGAGATGAAAAAACCGCTACATTTGCTCGTCAAACTTTCTTTTTTTTCTTTTTTCCAAAAATTATATCCTACCACAAAAGTAGTGCTCGAAAGAACAAAAATGCAAGCTTTTCCGGTCTTGTGATTCCGGCAAAGAGTGATCCATCAAACCATTTCAGCAGGATTAAAAAGAGCACCTTAGGTCTGCCATGCGTGTAAGAGCTGTAATTGTTGAAGCACATGCGATTCATAACGTTTAAAAACCAACCCTGTAAAACTCGCTTCCTCCACGGGATGAGTGTTAAGTTCGCTGAGCAATCTGGAACGCACTGAGAACTCTTTAAGCAAGTTTATGTGGGCATGAAATCGATGCAGTTTAGCCAATTACGGGTATGGCAACTTTTAAATAACACAGAAAACCATGTTCAAATTTGTGAGGGTTAATCTTACAACGCTAATGACTCTTCCCTACCACAGCTTATCACTGTTTTTGACGCACGAAGAGGTATGGAGTTTTGTTGCCTCAGCTCAGGTTTCATAAAAGCAAATTATAGTTAGATTATATAAGAACTCTACATAACATCTTTTTCGTTTTCCAGGGAAACCAAAGAACTGATAATTTTGCAATTGTTGAAGTGATGTTTCCCAATGCATTTTTCAAATACTTCTATTTCAAAATATTATTTATATTTAAAACTAGATGCTATTTTATAATCATTCATACCAACAAACTGGAAATAACTTTGAGGTCTTATTTATTCAATGCATTCCTAATTTGTCTCGCTTTATTATATGGAACAAAACCTAAGACTATTTTTCAAAAAAGTTTAGAGCTAACACTTAAGCTTGGTTAGAAAATCAGTAACCACCTCTAATTATGACGTAATTACCCGGTGGATGTACATCTTTAAAAACAGTTGTCACCTTACATGCTGATGACTTCGAGTCAAAAGTTTTTTGTCTCTACGAGCAATTGTAAGTCTTGATATTATCGCTAAGAGCTCTTTCAGACGAGTCTTAACCTACATTAAAAATTAAACAAAACACAGGTAAGGAGCGGCTATTTCAAAATGTACACTTTTTTCTCATCAAAGCTAGTAACAAGAATACGCCCGTCTGGTGCTTTTGTTATCGCCATAGGCTGAGATAAACGAGTGATACTTTTGCCTATGAAGCGACCGTCTAAAGAAAACTGTTGAACTCGGTTATTCCCAGAGTCACATACTAGAAGATTATTAGGGCTGTCTACAAGCAAACCACGCGGCCATTGAAATTGTCCATCTTGATACCCTTCTTTGCCAAACTTGTATAAGAATGTTCCTGACTGATCAAAAGCTTTTATGCAGTGGCTGGCACCATCAGATACGAGAAACATGTTTTTGTAAAGAGTGTAGCAGGTTGGATGACGGAGTTTATCTGAGCTTTTGTCTCCAAATGTAAAAATTGACTCTCCTTCCTTTGACATCACCTGTATCCTATTATTGCCCCACTCGGTTACAACAATGCGTTCGTCATCATCCACAGTAACGTCTACTGGCCCGCCAAACTCTCCTTTTTCTTTGCCTTTTCTTCCAAAACTTTTCACCACGGTTCCTGTGTGAATATTAAGTCGTTGTATTCTGCAATTGCCTAAGTCTACAATTAGGACTTCGTTGTCATTTAAAAACGAAATGCCATTAGGAAACTGAAATTGTCCTGTATGGCTACACTTGCTTCCGATTTTTCTCAAACAGTTGCCATCTTTATCAAAAACATATACACAGTTGCCAAGGTTATCTGTCACAACTATCTGGCCTTCTGTATTCACAACAACTCCATATAACCGTTCAAGCGTGTGCCCTGGAAAGAGCATTATCTTCAACTCACCGACCACGACAAGTTCACGTTCTTCAACCTGCACAGTGATGGGACAGGCCGGTAGTTTATCGCCATTAATCTTCACCTCAGGGCTGTAGGCCCCTGGTACTTTGGGAGTAAACTTCAGCCTAACATTATCGTCATATTTCTCATCAAGCAATTTGACTTGATCTTTGAGATCAGCGTGGTCACTCATCTCTCCGCCAGATGTCCGTGGGCACAACGTAAACTTTGCTTGTACACCAACTTGAAAAGTTTGATCCAGTCCTTCTAGAGTTGATTTAGCTGCGATTTTCGGCTTCTCGGAGACTTGAATAGAACCCAGTTTAAAGTTGTGCTGCGATGCGGCGGTAAATTTGACAAATGTAGCCTGGCGATGTTTTGGAACTTCAACTCTACGAAGCTCTTCAAGTTTCTGCCTCAATTTGTTTTTGTTCTGTATGATATCCACAGCTGATCTTCGTTGCACCAGATTCTTCGCAAATTCAGCTGCTTGGTTATTTTTTTTTTATTAGAGATTCCAGTTCTTGTTTAGCCGAGTTGATTCGTTCTATTCTTTTCCTACGTGCTATTTCTAAGGACTCTAAGAGCTGTTTTTCTGGCTGTCTCGTCTTTGTGACCACGTATTCAGTTGTATCCGACACTTCCTGTTTGGCGATTGCGATAATCATTTCAACATCCTTTGATGTTTTTTCTAACTGTGCTCGAAACAAGTTTGCCTTTTTCTTGATGTTCTCGACAGTCGACATGATGTTTTCTCATCCTCTTGTACTGCTCTTTCAAGCATTTCAAACGCATGGCCTCGGTGGTCTTCGGTGACGATCGCCTTAAACTGTAGTTAACTGATGTGTAACTAATATTAAAGCGACGAGTCCTGTCAAAACACTTATACGAAATCCGAGATATTATTTCAGTTTCCGAGAAAACAGCGCAAAGTCTATGACAGCTGACTTCCTCTGGCCGATTGCACTTCAGGACTAAGCTGACTTTTTTGTAATGATAAAAAGACGTTGTTACCTGAGATGAAGCCTCGATTTCAGACAACTAACCCTGGGGTAATTAAAGTTGCTTGAAATGGAAGCAATTAAGGCAAGAATTTGACTAAATGTGGTTTGGAAAAACGCATCAAACGAAGCTTCGTGTACTCAATTTATTATAGAACGAAATTTATTCTAGTCGCACCAGAATGGCTAGCGAAATGTTTGACATTGTCACGGATAACGGTTGTTTTAACCCTTTACATCCTAACATCAGTGTGCATATTCTCCATACTGGTCTCTATACATTTCCTTATGTGCTGGCAAGGAGAATTTGTTTAACAATCAATAGGTTCTTCAGTTAATTATAATTTCCTTTATTCTCATGACCTTGACGTTTGATTCATGGCTTACACTGAAAGGAGAAATTAGATGCGGATCACTCTCAGGGATTAAAAAGTTAAGTACCACTCCTTCCCGGACGTTTGTACAACTCAGTCGTTTCACAGTAAAACCGCAAATCTTATGGTGAGATTGTTCTTCTTAGTTGTTAGACTGTCATCGATGTGCATCAGAAAATGAATTATTTTCTTTTGAAAAACTAGAAAGCTGCTTTTAAAGACTATATTTAGATTTCCGACAAAACAGAACGGAAAGCTGCCATGACCTCTTCCGTTTGTGACATGCAGCTGTTTATTCGTCGCCTTCAAACTTTTTTTTTTAAACATATGCTTCTCAGTATTCAAGAATTTGATTAACTGTCAAATCATTAAGAGAGTGTCTCTGTAAGAGCGGTCCGGTCGATTTTGCTTGAGACACGGATTTCGCTCGTTTCTCGTGTGTTGTAAGACATTCATGTACCTATACTAAAACCACAATCAGTTTGATCGGATCTCTTTATTTTTCAGAGTTTTACGGAAATTAAATTTCACTCGAGCGAAGGCTTGTCGTGACACTTTTCAAGACTTTAATTTCATACAACTTTGGAGGACAATTTACAAAAAACTACGGAACTCAGCAAAAAACAAATACCACAGCCATGTATATTAACTCTATCTTATCTATCGAGGCGAAACAGGAAGACTTGAATGACACCTTATCGGTTCGCCTAAATCAAACACGCCAAAACCGATCAGATTCAAGGTTAATTTTTGAAAAAGTGAGGCGTTATTTACTGATCCAACTAACATAGCTAGGAAGTAGGTGCCATAGAAAAGATAACTACTGAAAAAAACTTTGCGCCCGACCTTTACGAGAACTTTATAACTCCGTGAACTTACCTAATTTTCGGCAATCTCCAAATTTGGCCGCCATTTTGAGGGACTTGTCAACATGAAGCGTAACCGATATAAATCAAGCAGGTAAAAGGCGCAAAGTTTTTTTCTGTAGTTATCTTTTCTATGGCACCTACTTCCTAGCTATGTTAGTTGGATCAGTAAATAACGCCTCACTTTTTCAAAAATTAACCTTGAATTTGATCGGTTTTGGCGTGTTTGATTTAGGCGAACCGATAAGGTGTCATTCAAGTCTTCCTGTTTCCTTGATTGACACGTGATGTTTACGAAAGTCGCCTCGATAGATAAGATAGAGTTAATATACATGGCTGTGGTATTTGTTTTTTGCTGAGTTCCGTAGATTTTTGTAAATTGTCCTCCAAAGTTGTATGAAATTAAAGTCTTGAAAAGTGTCACAACAAGCCTTCGCTCGAGTGAAATTTAATATCCGTAAAACTCTGAAAAATAAAGAGATCCGATCAAACTGATTGTGGTTTTAGTATAGGTACATGAATGTCTTACAACACACGAGAAACGAGCGAAATCCGTGTCTCAAGCAAAATCGACCGGACTGCTCTTACAGAGACACTCTCTTAATTGCCCTTTTTGGTGATAACTATCGAGATGATGAATTTTACCGTCCACAAGGAGAATAACACAACGGCTCATTCGACAATTTTTTACGACCAGACAACTCGCGGAATCCTTGCCATTCTGAATTGCCTGTTGTTGCTTGCATCTATCGTGGGGAATGCTTTAGTCCTGGCTGCTATGAGGAAGATTTCTTCCATTCATCCAAACTCATTGACTCTGCTCTGTAGTCTTGCTGTTTCAGATCTATTGGTTGGTTTCGTGGCTCAACCGAGTTTCATAGCCGGTATTCTAACGAGAGATACTTTCGTTCAAAACCTGTCGGCAGTGGCAATGGGTTCGGCGTGCTCAGTGACGCTTTGGACAATAACTGCGATAAGTGTGGATCGACTTATGGCTCTTCGATATCACATGAGATATGGTTCTTTGTTCACCGAATCTCGGGTCAGATATGCTGCGCTAACTATATGGTTGGTCAACGTACTCCTTTCTGCCTCCTATCCTTGGACAGAACAAATATACAAATTTACCATGGGTATTGTGACTGTAATCTGCTTAATAATTTCAGCATCTTGTTATATTTTGATATACCGTGTGGTTCGCCTGCATCAAACCCAGATTCTAGCTCAACAAGTAGCAATTCACCCTCCTTTGGAAAGAAATGGTACAGATATGAGACGTCTACGTAGAAGCGCTATTAATACTTTTATATTTTTCATGTTTTTGATCATTTGTTATTCTCCAATGTATGTGATACTGTTCCTTTATGGATTGTCCTTCATAGAGTGGAAAATAGAGTTCAACTTTTTTACTACTTTAGTGTTCATGAACTCGTCAATTAACCCATTCTTGTATTGCTGGCGGGTCAGTGAGTTACGAGGGGAAGTCTTACACACTGTAAGAAGATTGTTTTGTAAACATACGGTGGAAAGCTAGAATTTGAAGATGGGGCTCAATACAGCCAGCCTCTTGATGCGACGATGCGAACTTGTTCACACTCGGGTTACAACTTATGCATCGTTGTCTTTCCTTGTGACTACGTTTCAATTCCAGAGAATAAAAACTAAATATGTATACAACTTGACTTTAATGTTGTTCACCCCGCGGCCAATAAATACGTCGTCGGATGTTCGAAAAGCACCATATCTTCTGGGCGAATTGTTGAGATGGAATAACCCACCAAATAATACATAAATCAATAAATAAATAAATAAAATTTTTAGCTCGTGTTATTTTTTATTCCTAAAATCTTTTTTGAAAAGTAAGTTGAATTTATTCGCTGTAATATTTCAACGCACTTATTACCCGTCGAGATGACTTGTGCATCTCATAAATATTCTCTCTTTTCGTGATCCCAACGAGTTCAAATATGGATGAATTAAAAAAAAACACATTGGCGTGTAAGTAACTATAAGGCGAATTATATGCACAATAATGCTCATAACTTGTTAAAATCCGCATGGACTTTCAACTTAAAAACAAGAAAACATAACACGATGTGATCGAGTGGGATGAACCTATGGTTCCTGAATAAAACACAAACCTATTTGACATTCTAGAAAAATATAAGACGCCTGCAATCAGAACCTTCACAAAATTTAAATACAAAAATTGTGAGCTACTGTTATCACTAAAACATGACAAAAATTTATTTCCTATTCTTACTTCGCTTTGCTAATTTTATAATAAATTATATCATGATAAGAACAGGTGTTTTTCTCTGTTTTCAGATTTAAATGCTAAAATTTTTCCTATAATAACAACTTAATGTTCGGTTATTGAGCTGAGAAAGTCAAAGCGCAATTAATGGGAAAAAACTGTTGATGTATGAGCTAAAGGCGTATTTTTTTTTGTTCTTTCCTGAGATGCCGCACGTTTCAAGCAGATTGAAGTGACAATATTGTATCGTCGAAACATTAAGGGATCGATGGAGAAAAGAAAAGAAATAACTTTTTTTTCAAAATTTTCTTCATTTTTTTCCCAAGAATTTGGTTCAGACTAAGGGTGAAAACAAAAACAAAAAAAACAGAACATATCCACGGGCGTTGCAGTTCATTTTTTTGATGTTTGTTTTCGTTTTCGTAATGATAAAATTAAATTAGTGTAATTAATTTCTCAATACGCATAGGGTTTACTAGTATGACGAGGTTGCATTATACAAGTCGCAGTCTCCTTGGTAGCCCAAAACAAACAATGATTTCACAAACTTCAAGTGAAGCTAATTTTGGTGACTATAATTTATTCAACTCGAACATCTGCAGGACATGGCTATTAGCTTTTGGCACGACTCCTAACCACTAAATTTGTGAATATTGGGTTACTATCCACCTATCCATTTTTTCAAATATTCCCGAGTTGTTTTTTTCTAATTCTACATTGTTTGAGTAAAATTGAAAAGGAGAGATGGCAATCCTAACCAAAATGGACCTGTATGAGCGAGCCTCTTAAGAGAGTGTCTCTGTAAGCGCGGTCCGGTCGATTTTGCTTGAGACACGGATTTCGCTCGTTTCTTTTGTGTTGTAAGACATTCATGTACCTATACTAAAACAACAATCAGTTTGATCGGATCTCTTTACTTTTCGGAGTTTTACAGAAATTAAATTTCACTCGAGCGAAGGCTTGTCGTGACACTTTTCAAAACTTTAATTTCATACGACTTTGGAGGACAATTTATAAAAAACTAAGGAACTCAGCAAAAAACAAATACCACAGCCATGTATATTAACTCTATCTTATCTATCGAGGCGACAACTCAACTGCTTCATCTTCGCGGCAATATCACGCTGGTATTTTGATTTTCCGATCGACAAGAACAGTGATCAGGAATCGATCGGTATGTTTACCTCATAAACGTGACCGCTGACCAGTCGCTGAGTGAAAACAGTATAGCGCGGGGTGGGGTGGGTGGCGGGCTTATCGTCATAAGATATTCGAATACATGCTTAAAAAGCTTTAGGACTATCAGTCTAAACAGTGAAGGCATACTTCGTGGTACAGACAACTTTTATTTTATTCTCATAACTTTCTCCTTCAAATTAGAGCTGGTATTAATGAATAGAATATATTTTTAACCGGGGTACCCATACAACCTTTTTGCCTGTCATTTTCCACCAGAACCTTTTATTTATGCCCCATTGCACGGAATGAACACCATACTGAGAATGTTTGTACTAAGTAATTTTTTCTGTTCCCAAGAATGTGTGCAAAATGATAGAGATTTGATTCATTCCACTGAGACGTTCTTTTAAGTTATGGCGCGTGCAGGTTTTTCCTATCAAAAGTCGCGCATGCAACACACCGGAATTGAAAATTCGTCGTAAAATCGCACGAACCTTAGAAGGAGTGTAGGCAACTTTGACTTCTGGCGAGATGAAGTGGATGGTTCAAAGGACCCCCTGAGATTTTTTTCAGGATTATAAGTGAGATTTGTTTATAACTATGATAATCGTCCTCAATAGCGGACGGTGCTTTTTACCCATTGTTGTCATCATTATCGTTATCACGCCGGAAGAAGTGTAAAGCCGGCATGTCGCCTTACCTAACTACACAGAAAATTGTTCTCTCTTTTGCTCCCCTTGGATCCTGGAAACTGTTACTATTAGGACGATCAAAAAGAAAGCCTTTATAATTATTGAAACTTTTGATTAACAGAATGTAAGAAAAAATCGGTGGGGAGAGTTATTTGCGTTCTTATAACCTAAACGATAGTTTTCAATAAAACAAATACCCCTTAATTCAATTTACCTTAGTTGTCTCGTGTTTAAAAGTGGCGTTTCTGGGGACCGTAGATTCTTCTCTGATTCTTCTTGTCTCAGCCAAGACTCACTATCATCCACTTTTTTCCTGTGCCTCTTACGGCATGGGACACAGAGAGCTGAGGTAAGCGATTGAAAATTTCTCAGTTAAAGTAAAGCCCAGTAGCATTCATCAGGAATTGAAAACCGTGCTGCACTGTTTACTTCTATTATTCTTAATCAAATAAGGGGTGTTTTAGTCTGCAAATTTAATCATACTGGTTAATGAGAATCATACAAACTGAGGAAAACTGACCGCAAATAATTGTGAACCGTACGCATAAATAAGTGTATTGCGTTGTCAGGTGATTAAACCTTCTACAAAAACATTATTGATTATCAACCAAGCAACATTGTACATATTTCCATCTGCAATTAAAAGCACTTACACATAGATCTATGTTTTTTCAACGTGATGTGTACTTAAGTACCCTTCATCTAATAAAGAATTTCTTCTCTTTTCGAGCAAATATGTCACGTGACAAAAATATATAACAGAAAATGTTACTGAAGACTACCTGATTCAACTGCAATAATAACTCCAAACAGCTTTTGAATGTCCTGAGACATATGCAAGGTAATTACATCTCTGCCTTGGATACGCTTCCTGACACCATTATGATCGGGATACTGACATGTTACCTTTGCACTTCTCCAAAACTTCCCCAAAGTGTGGCGATACCGATAGCAAATCCACATTTTTTTTGTTTATCCTCCTGAGCGAGGTGAAATAGGCCAATCCTTGCCAAGATTAGCTCATTTTCACTTAAGACCTCTTTAGACAGGTGGCAGCTTATCAAATGATGTTTTACTTCGTCATTGCATTCAGACAGTCGTACCAAACCACTTAAGCCACGCGATCAACCAAAGTTTTTTCCACCTTTGCTATTCAAAAAGCAGTCCTGAGACGTAATGAACGTCTCGCTAGCGAACGACTTCTTCCTGTACTTGTAATTGTTTCCAACGCGATAAAAGTTCGGGAGATCTAAAGGAACTCATTATAACTTTGTATACTCGATACGATTTCAATTTCCGCGTCAAAGGAGAAGCCTACTGTGGTCAGTGGTTACGCTCGTGAGGTAAAGAATGGGTTTGTGACTTTCTCACTCAATTGAAAGACTCACGTTACTCTAATGAAATGGTTGAACGGAATACAGACTTCGAGCAGTCTCTTATTTTTCTTAAAGATGGTGAGGTCACGCGTATCCTGTGAGCATGGAGAAGCCGTGATACGCGAGACTCGTGTCTCGCGTCTTTGCCGCTCCACGCTCTCAGAGTTGGGCGAAGACAAGACACATTATTTCTGGTGCGATACAAGAGGTTCAATGGTTATCACGATTATCTAAACACATTTATTGACGTGGTAAAGATTTGTTTGTAAATCTATGAATTGATGCCAGTCCTATTTGGAACGAAATGTATTTGAAAGAAAAAAAGAATACTAAGTAAAACAAAAGTTGTCGGCAACACGAAGCATGCCTTCACATTAAGACTGACAGTCCTAATGTTTATCATGATACTTTAATGCATATGTTCGAATGTTCCCAAAAATCTTCTGATAATCTGCCCGCACCCACCCCTCACCCCGCCCTCACGACTGAACCGTACTGTTTTCACTCAGCGGCTGGTGAGCGAGCACGTTTATGAAATAAACGTGGCGATCGCTACCTGATCACCGTTCTTGTCGATCCGAATGTCAAAATACCAGCGTGATATTGCCGCGAAGATGAAGCAGTTGTGTTAATTGATTCGTACTTCACATTCGAGTCGAAGCTTGGGTGGCACAGGTTATTTCTTACGGTGGAATCGACGAGGGGAATTCGAACACTAGTCGTAGTGTTTGAATTGTTGGAAGAAATGGTCGCATGGGGATGGTAAGTTTAACGAACAGTTTCAAATTATGTATTTCTGACGGTTTTAGATCTACCTGCTTGATTTATATCGGTTACGCTTCATGTTGACAAGTCCCTCAAAATGGCGGCCAAACTTGTAGATTACCGAAAATTAGGTAAGTTCACGGAGTTATAAAGTTCTCGTAAAGGTCGGGCCGCAAAGTTTTTTTCTGTAGTTACCTTTTCTATGGTACCTACTTCCTAGCTATGTTAGTTGGATCAGTTTAGAACGCCTCACTTTTTCAAAAATTTACTTTGAATCTGATCGGTTTTGGCGTCTGTGATTTACGCGAACCAATAAGGTGTCATTCAAGTCTTCCTGCTTCCTTGATTGAAACGTGATGTTTACGAAAGTCGCCTCGATAGATAAGATAAAGTTAATATACATGGCTGTGGTATTTGTTTTTTGCTGAGTTCCTTAGTTTTTTGTAAATTGTCCTCCAAAGTTGTATGAAATTA